CTGAGAGCCAGTCTACACGCAGCCAGTAGGTAAGTGGGTAGATGGAGAGCAGGACCAGTGATGAATGGATGAAGGATTAATGAAGTCCCTTAGTCTCCCCACCCCCTTACCAGGCTTGAGCATAAGCGGTGTTTGTACTAAAACACTCGGGGAGCACTGACCATGGGCCTTACTGGCCCTCTCCCAGCAGGGGCTGGAGCTGAATGAAGAGGGGTGCTCTCCCACCCTCCTTCATATCTATCCCATTACCTCACAATGTCAGCCCTGGTCTCAGGGGATTAGCCTGGAGAGAATCCTTCCAGTTTGAAATTTACTGCATATTTATTGACTCTCACCTGTACATCAGACCCTGAGCTAGGGGGAAGGGCAGGATTCCAAGCGGTAGAGTTGAACAGGATCTCCCTTCCTTAGAGCAGCAGTTGGATGTGAGAGAGAACAAATCATAAAGGATTACTCACTCCTCCGAGGTGTCAAGAGCTTTCCAAGGGGTGTGAGCTGAGGGATATGGGAGCACAGCGGAGGGAGGGACCATCTTTGAATGCCCGACTACCCAGAGAGGGGCCTTTTGAACTGGGCCTTGAAGGATGTTTATGAGTCTGCTTTTTGCAGACTTAACGTTCTTCTGGGGAACTTGGTATGGCAGGAACAGATCTCTTTGGGGCAGCAGCTAGAGATGGAGACAAGACCAGGCCACACAAGTCCAGGTAAATATGCTGAGGAGCTGGACAGAAGCTTCTAAGCTGGTGACACGATCAGTTTGCACTTGAGAATGGTCTGTAAGTCTGTGGATCGAAGAGAGACAGGCTGGAGGAAAGACAATTGGTCTGAACTGGTACAGTGGTGGGCTGGGGAGGAAGTTTGAGATTCAACAGCCTCTTTGGAGTTACTTTCTGAGCCATGATGACAAATTTCTTGGCAGGGTGAGGACAGGGAAGAAGGAGTTACAGAAAGGGGCATACGGGTACCCAGGGTGCAAGGAAGGACTCAGGAGATGGCCTCTGCTCTCAGTTCCCAGCATCACCTTTTGTCTGCTTGCTTTCTGAGGGAACCTGTGCTCTGGTTTCTGCATTAGCTATCTGTAGCTGTGTAACAAATTACCCCAAAGCTTAGCAGTTCTTAAAATGAATACAAAATTATGACCTCACAAGTTTCTCGGAGTCAGGGATTCATGAGTGACCTAGCTGGGTGGTTTGGACCCTGGGTGTCGCATAAAGTTGCAGTCAAGACGTCAGCTGGGGTGCAGACACCTGAGGGCCTGACTGGGGCTGGGGAATTCACTTCTACGGGACGCTGTCATATGCCAGCCAAGTTGGCCCTGGCTGGTGGCAGGAGGCCTTCACTGTCTACCACATGGCCCTCTCCACGTGGCTGCTTGAGTGTCCTCATGACATAACTGGCTTCCTCCAGAGTGAGTGATCCAGGAGACCACAGCTGAAGCCACAGTGACAACCTCTGATGACAACCTCAGAAGTCACACATCATCATTTCTCCAATATCCGAGTGGGTACACAAACCAGCCCTATTCATCATGGGAGGGGACTACAGATGGGTGTGCATACCCGGAGGCGAGAAACACTGGGGCCACCCTGGAGGCTGGCTGCCATAGTTTCCCTTTCTGTAACACATGTGCAGAATGGCAGGGCCAAGTTTCAAACTGTAGTGGGAGGATGCACATTGGAGCAAGAAATGCTGCCCTTGGGAGAAGCCCTGAGAAAGGTGACTAAGATGTAAAGGCACCTTCCCTAGAGGGGCCCAGGGCAAGAGAGTCTCCTGGGGGACTGAGGGCAGGTGCTTCTTCTTCTTCTTTTTTTAATATATATATTTATTAATTTCAGAGAGGGAGAGCTAACATTGATTGGCTGCCTCCTGCATGCCCCACACTGGGGATTGAGCCTGCAACCCGGGCATGTGCCCTGACTGGGAATCAAACTGTGACCTTCTGATTCATAGGTCAACGCTCAATCATTGAGCCACGCCAGCCAGGCCTGAAGGTGTAAAACTCTGTCCTCCAGGGCTTCGCCACACCTGCCACTTGAGTTCAGTTTGCTGAGCTTCTGTCTTCTGGGCGGGGGCCAGGGGGAGTCTTTCCTCACTCCTCACTTTCCAGGACAAGTTCTGCATTCCAGCACACAGGGAGCATTCAGCCCATTGTACTGCAATTGCCCAATGATTTCTCCATCTGCCCTCCATTCAAGGGCGCTTGTTGAGTGTCTGCCCACTGTGTGACAAGCAAGGCTCCCTGTATGGTCACGTAGGCCATTCAGTGCCAAAGGCATCTACCCAAGAGAGCTCTTGGAATCAGCCCATGCTCATCAAGCCATGAACCCAGGTACAAGGCTGGGTCCCAGTAGAGAATAAACACCTTTCTGCTGTTCCCACAAGGACACTGTATTCAGCTGTGTATCCATACAGCTGGTCAACCCAGAGGAGGGACTTTTTCTCATTTGCACAAAGATGCTGTTTGGTGCTGTGGGCCTAGAGCAAACACTGTTCTAGGTAGTGGGATACGGTGTGAGTGAGACAGGCATACTCCTGCCCTCACAAGTCTAGTGTGGGGAGATCCACTATACATACGTGAAACGGACATTACCCAAATGGCTTCAGATTGTGAGCTGTGCCAAGAAACAAATGATCAGGGTGCTGCTGATAAAGAATAATGGGGAAGCCTACTGTAATTTGGGTGGTCTGGGAAAGCCTCTTTGAGGAGATGGCTTTCAGGGGCTTCCAGAATAAAAGAAGGATTTGGCTTGGTGAACAACGGAGAGCTGGACTGAGGGAGAGCATCCAGGCAGCTAGAACAGCAAGTGTGAAGGCACTGAGGTAGGCAAGAGCTTAGTGCACTGGAACTGTCAGAAGGACGCTGGAGGGAGATGGAGGCCTGGCTCCCCTTGTGCTCGTTGTGGCTAAACTGGGGTTGGGAGGCCCAGAGTGGACACTTAGGGATGCCTCTGTGGTTGAATATAAGACGTTGGGGGTGGGGGGGGGTAGGGTTGTGGCTCAGGAAAAAAGTGTGGTGGTGGGCATGATTCAGTGGGGGTGCACATAAACTCAGGGGAACTCTTCCGTCAGGTCCAACTCAGCCAACATCTAAGCCTCTACTGAGTGCCAGGCTCTGTGTAGTGTGCACGTGCATAAGAGAGAGATCCTTCCCTTGAAGGCCCACACCCTAGGAAGCAAGGTGGTGGCGGGAGGTGTGTCCTCTGTGATAATACCTAGTAGAAGGTGGGGGATAGTGAGCAAGGCCTCCAGAGGAGGGCCCAGGACTTATTCTGGAAGGCCTGGGGTTTGATTAGAGGAGGATGGGGAAAGGTCCCTCTGGCTGGAGGCAGTGCTGGGTGGGGGACCAGCCTGGCTGGGAGAGCCAAGTCGAAGCTCAGGTCACAAGGCCTGAGGCTCTCAATTCCACATTCTAGGGCCAGAAAAGAAGGCGTAGGGGGTGGGGCTGCTGCTGTCAAAATGGAAACACCTTCTGGAGCGGAGCTGCCACCTGGGGCAGTGGGGGTGGGGGTGGGGGGGAGAGAAGCTGAAAAGCTGGCCAGATGGGCATGACTTGACTTGGGTGGCCAGGGCGGCTATGTCCTGACGTGGCCGGGGTGGAGGCGTCTCTGAGCTGGGCTGGCTGGTGGGGTCAGGAAAGCCTTGCTCAGCACTGGCTGAGTCATATGCCTGAGCTGGGGCCAGGACTAGGCTCTGGGAGAACATGGTCCCAGGGTAGGGCCCAGGGCCAAGGCCACATCCCAGTCTCCAACCACTGTGCCTCCCAGCTCTTCCCCAAACCCCACACTCACAGACAAATCAGAAGCCTTAGTTTGGGGAGACCCAGAACGTCTTTGGGTAGCTCTGGGCCTTCATCTGTGCCTCAGTGTCTCCTGTGTACTGCTGAGAATCAGGTTGGGGCGGCCTGGACAGCTGGCTGTAGCCAGGGGCTGTGGCTGTCCAGGATTTGGAGTCAGGGCAGCTCTCCTGCCTCCCCCTTTCCAGTGTCCCCAACCCACCTGCCTCAGCAGGTACTGGGCAGCCAATAAGGCCAAGTCAGTACAGAAGCTCAGCTCAGGACTCCGCACCCAATCTGTGGGACCTGGTGGGAGGGGCCCACCAAGCCCCTGGGTGGAGGGCCCTGGGGGTGGGGCAGGCAGGGCTGGGACATTCCAGGCTGAGGGAACCCCTTAGGAAATTTGATTCCAGCTTCTGGTGGTAGGAGGGGGGGGGAGCAAATTCTGTGTATGTGTGTGTGTGTATGTGTGTTTCAAGTCATGCTGTGTGAGCATCTGTCCACATGTCTGTCCGACTGCTGCACTGAGGGTCTGCTATGAAATTGTGTGTGTGTTGGTCAACACCCCCCGACTCCCCCCAACCCCCGTCACCCCAGTCAGAGGTTTCTCCTTGGGTACTGGGTGTGCATGTGTGAGGCTATATGTATGTGTATGGCTATGTGTGCCTGTATGGCTGAGTGCGTGGGTTGCATGGGTGTAGTATGGGTGTATGGTTATGAGTGAGTGTGTATGGCTGTGAATGTGTGCGTGTATGTGCACGGGCCCTCTTCCGCACCATGAATTGGGTCTGTGTGACTCTCTGGGAGTGAGTGAGTGTGAGGGTGGTTCCGGGTGCCGGCTGCCTGCTGGGTGTGTGTAAGGGGAGAAGGCCCCTCTTATTCCTTGGCCCGGGTCCTGCCTGGGTCCTGGCCACCTCTGGACCTAGCCAGGATCCAGCAGGGGATTAGGTCCCCTCCCCTCCCCCTGCTCCTCCTATCTTCCCACGCCCGCCGGAGGGGCCCTGGCCCTGGGGTAGGCTCTGCCCAGCCCGCGGGTCCGCAGTCACGGCGTTCCCGCCCCGCAGGCCCTGGGGGAGCTGCGGCCGCCGCCCCCGCCGCCCCCTCCTCCCTGAGCCCCTCCTCCCCTCCTTCCCTTCCGAGCGCGATTGCAGGCGGGGTGGGAGGAGATTGCGCCGGAGTTTCCATTCCTCGCGGCTAAACTTTCTTTCTGTGTCTCGCTCTCTTGCAGTCTGCAGCTTCTCCTGTCATCGGAAATGCCAGGCCAAGGTAAGGGGCCGCGGGCCCCCACGGGGCTCAGCGACTGACGGCTCGGTCCCTGGACTGGAGAGGGGGCTCCGGTGGGGCGGGCGGCGCTGGGGGTCGTCTCTTCCTCCTCTCTTTGTTTATGCAAAGCTTGGGGCGGGAGCCGGCTCAGGTCAAGGTGAAGGCGACGGTCTGGGGGAGGGGGCGGAGGTGGGGGGGGAGCGAGTTGAATCTGGGTGGGGGGTGCGGCTCCCATTCTCTCGCTCCTGGAGGTTGCTGGTGGAGACTGAGCTCCGAGAGAGGGGCCTTTGGAGGTATTTCTCCTAGTTCTCTGGGAGGGTGGGGGCGTCGAGGGGGAGGGGATGCATTTCAGTTCTGCGCGGGGCGCAGAGCCCTGGTTGGTCTGATTGGGGCAGCTTAGAAAAACTCGGGAGGGGTCGCAATCGCCAGACCTGGAGTGCAAAAGGGATAGGTAGGGGAAGTGAGGATGAGTGGGAAAGGGGTGGAGGTCAAGGTCGCAATGGTCCTGGAACCTCCTGAAGGACCATCCTACTCTCTTTATGACCAGTCCCACTTTGGTCCTCAGTTTCCCCATCAGTGTTGTCTGGCTGATCTTGGTGGGAGAGGAAAACTAAGACAAGAAGACCAGAGGAATTGGTGGGCCTGGGTGGCCGGGCTGGCTGGACCCCTGCTGCAACCTCTCAGGCCAGGACAGAGGGGTGATGGAGCAGCTGGTGGTGGCTTCTTGGAGTAATTTCCTTCCCAAATAATCCATCCCAATCCCTCAGCTCTCGGGAGGTGGAGATGTTTGGCCTTAACCTTTCAGATGCAGCCAATCTTTGCACTCTCCCTATTATTGCTTTTCTCTCCCTTCTTATTAGCTGGGTGACTGTGGGTCAGTCATGTTCATCCTCAAGGATACAGGAATAAGAAAAAGCTATTACGAGGATGAGACGGGATAATGTGTGTGAAGTGTCCAGCACAGTGCCTGACACATGGTAGGCCCTCAGAAGCATAGCAGTGATTAGTATCAATTGGTAGCTCGAGTGTTACCATGGAGAAGGGTGCTGATGGAGTAGGCAGTCTGAGAGGGAACCCACTTCCTCCTGCGGGACCTTGCTCAAGCAAAGCACACAGCCTTGCTGGGGCATCTCCCACCTGTACACTCCAGGTTTGAGTGTTCTCCTAGCAGAGGTGCAGAGGGCCTGGCTCGCAGGGGGCACATCTGTACAGTGTCTGCCCCTCCCTTGTCTTCCGCCTTTCTGCCTCCCTCAGCTTTTGCTTCCTACGGAGGGGATTGCGTTACTGCTTCTCCCTCCACACCCCTCCTTGCTCTCTTCATCCAGAGCCGAGATTGTCCACCCTTCATCCCAGAACCTTCTGACTTCTCCCCAGTCGATCTCCTCCCTACCGCCCTTCCTGCACTTGTTTCTCTTTATTATTATTATTTGTTATTTTTTACTAAGAGAGGAAGGGGGAGGGATAGAGAGATGGAAATATCGATTAGAGAGAGACATTGATGGGCTACCTCCCTCACACCCCCTACTGGGGCTCAAGCCTGCAACCTGGGCATGTGCTCTGACTGGGGATCGAACCGGAGATGTCCTAGTTCATGGGTTGATGCTCAACCACTGAGCCACACCAGCTGGGCAACACTTGTTTCTCTAACTAACATCTTGTATGGTGCCTTGACCTTAGAAAGCACTTCAATGCATTATCTGATTTCATTATTTTAATTCCATCAGAGCATAAAACAGGCCAAAAGATCTATAGGAAACCGAGGCACCCAAAGGTTGAATGACTTTCCCAAGGCATCGCAGTGTAATTCCTCAGTCATATCTGTCCCAGGGCCTTGCGCTTTCTTCTAATTACCCCTTCTTGCCTACCAGCAGACATTTCTTTTTGATCCACACCTGCCTTCCCTCTTAGCTTCCCATCTCTTGCAGCAGTGGATACAGTTAGAGAGGATAAGGGGATGAATGTACTGCCAGTGAAGGGTCTGAATAGGGCCAATGGGGGGCTCAGAGACCCGGAGAGGCGTGACAGAGTTAGCCTCCTGTTGCACAGTCACCTCCTGTTGGAGACAGAACGGTGCTAAAGGTGACTTCTGGGTGGGGGTGTGGCCTGCCTAGCAATTCTGGCACATGCTGGGGGCTCAGGATACACCAGGCTCAGCAACACTGCTCTGCCCAGCCAGGGCCAACCAGAGGAGCGAGGTGGACTGGCAGGGCAGTGGCTGGACAGACAGATGGGGTTTGTTATAGGATTTTCCTCTACAGCAAAGGGGACCCACTGGAGCTGTGAGCTCCACCCAGCTGGCAAGTCTCCCCATAAACCACAGCTCTTACTACTGGCCTGCCTTTTCCTCTTGCGGAGAAGGGTGATGTGAGCCTCAGAGCACACAGCAGAGCTCTGTCCTCTGGGTTTTACAACCATTTGGGGGTCCTCTTATCCATTCCCCTACCCGAGACGGGACTCGGTAAGCAAATGTGTACGGAGCTCTTTTTGTGCACCAGACACTGTTGTAGGCGAACAAGACAGATAAGGCCTTTGCACTCGTGGGACTGACATTCTAGGCAGTAAATAGGCAAACAAGTCCCATCAGGAGATGAGTTAGAGCAGTGGGTTAGAGAGGGCTTAGGCTTAGGTGGCCCAGGAAAACTTCTCAGAGGAAGTATTGTGCAAGATGGGACCCAATTGATGTTACAGGATGATCCGAGAGATGAAAAGAGCAAGTGCAAAGGCCTGAGGTGAGATGAGCTTGTCAGGCTTGAAAGAAGATGTGGTGGAGATTAGTGAGCCCTGGAGGGGTTTGAGCGTGAGCGACATGATCTGAAGATCTCCACTTTAAGGAGGCCACTCTGGCCTTGAGCAGTCACTGGGAGATGGGCCAAGAGGCCACTGATGTTGCCCAGGTGAGAGAAGCTGGTGGCTTAGTCCGTGGTGCTCATAGGAAAGACTGTGAGAAGGGACAGGTCTGGGATGCATTCCGGGATAGAGCCCAGAGCCTGGCTGATGGATGGGATGTTGGGTGTGAGAAAGAGAATGGGCTCAAGGATCTCTCTCAGGTTTTTGGCCAGAATAACTGGGTGCACGTGGTTCCATTTACTGTACTATGATAGATGAAGTGTGTGAGAAATTTCTAGGAAGAAGGCGCCAGGATTTCTGCTTTGCTTGGTCTCTTATTTCACAGTTCTTCTCCAACACACTGGGGATTTGTTGCTGAGGTTGGTCCTCCCTTGTCCTCTCAAGTTCAGCCCACTCTGGCCACCACTCCAGTAAATGGCTTGTTCTGGATGCCTTCATATGCCACCTTGTAGGCCAGGGGTGGGGAACCTTTTGGATATTTATAACATCATTCTTGGACCGTACAGAATTATCAACTTAAAAATTAGCCTGCTATATTTGGTCAAGCATTTAATTAACTCACCCCTAATGCCTTGGTAGGGCCAGACCAAATGATTTTGTGAGCCTTATATAGCCCCCGGGCTGGACGTTCCCCACCCATTTTAGACTATTCCTACAGCATGAACCCATGGCTCAGAGAGGGGCTGAATTAATTATATGTAGCAATACAATGTAACAGAGTATCCCCAAATTAGTAACTTAAAGCAGCAACTAATGTTTATTATCTCATACAGTTTCTGTGGGGCAGAAATTGGAAGCAGCTTAGCTGGAGGTTTTGGCCTGGAGTCTCATGCAGTAGCAGTCAAGATGCCAGCTGGCCTGTAGTCATTTGAAGGCCTGACAGGGGCTGGAGAATCCACCTTCAAGGTGATTTATTCATGTGGCTAGTGAGTCGGGGCTGGCTCTTGGCAGGAGGTCTCAGCTACTTGCCACACAGACCTCTCCACAGGCCTGCTTGAGTGTCTTCACAACATGGCACTGGCTTCTTTGGAGTGGGCGATTCAAGAAAGAGCAAGGTGGAAGCCAGATATCTTATTTCCTAGCCTTGGAAAAAAACACACTGTAATTTCTACAATATCTGTTTGGTTATACAGGCCATGCCCATTGAGGGGCTTATATAAGGACATAAATACCCGGAAGCAAGAGTCCATGGTTCCATCTTAGAAGCTGTCAGCCACAGATGCCCGGAGAGAGGGCTAGGCTGACCTGGCTCCTGGGAGACCATGGGAGTGGGGTGGGGATCAGACATACCTGGGGTTTGAACTCTACCCCTGCTGCCTTCCAGTTATGTGAGCTAGGTTGTAGAGGATTAAATGCACATCTGCACATAGTAGGTACCTTTCTCCTTTTTTGGAACCACAGGTGAAGACTAGGAAGGAGCCTGGATAGTCTGTGCCCAGTTTCTCGCCACTTGGACCTGCTTGAGAGAAAATGCTCAGTGGTGGTAGAGGAGGGCCTCAGTGCTCAGCTCAGAGTGGGTGTTAAATACGTGTTCATTGCACCAATAAGGGTAGAAGATATGTTGCATCCTCAGTTTCTAGAATAGTGCCTGGTCCATAGTAGAGGTTCCAGTGAAGGAGTAAAAGAAGGTAGAATAAAGGAATGTTGAGAAATGAGAGGTTCCACTTAGGGAGAGGCTGGGGAGGGGAGACAGATGAGAGCAGGAAAGAGAAGGAACAGCAAAACCACTTTTTAATTCCCTTCCACAAAGCCCTCCCATCTCCTCACACAGAGATGCTCCAAACAGTAATTCTAGTCATTTACCTTTTCTAGTTGGGGTATAACTCACATACTGTCAAGTACACGAATTCATCAGTTGGTACATATACATGAACCAGATCAGGATCTAGAACATTCCCAGCATCCCAGAAGCAGCCCATACGCTCCCCTCCAAGTCAATATCCCCCCCAAAGGTAATTGTTATTTTTACTTGTAACATCCGAGATTAGTTTTGCCTCTTTTTAAATTTCATATAAATTGAATCATACAGTATGTTTATGCTTGTGTCTGGCTTATTTCAGTCAGCATGATGTCTGGGAGGCTCATCTGTGTTCTTGTGGTTCATTCTTTTTTATTGCTCTGTTATATTCCCTGTGTTGAATCAACCACATGTATTT